TTGAAAAGTAATTACTGCAAACAAATACAGAAGTATTAAAGAATCTCTGAGTTAACGTACAAAACAAAAAATTTTTATAAATTCAGCACCCAGAATTTGAAATATAAACGCAAGTAAAATCGTGAAATAATGCTTCTGTTTATTAGACAGACAGTAAAAACTTATGTAAGGTAATTTTTAGAACAGTTCACATTTCTGATAATAGATGGGTCTCCAATCGATGAGAAACATCTTTTGTCACCAATCAAAAAAGGCTAGTCACAACATATTTTCGAAACGGCTGACATTAGCAGCAGTTACATGTCCCAACCAAAGAATGAAACTTCCGTTCACTTAAAACAAGATATTCAGGAAAATGACAGGCATACATCACAAATATGCAGTTCCAATTTATCCAGTGTTTTTAGATTTCTGTTAAAATCGTCTTTCACTTGTGCTAGAAAAAATAAACGGATTAGATTGAGATCTGGTGAATGTGAAGGCTAATCGAAATAACTGAGGGCAAGAAATCTACTAGAGTATAATATTCTTTAAAGATGGCAAATACAACGTGGTTCCATTAAGCAGTCGTCATCTTGCATCAACTAAGAAGTTTCTTGTGGATCTTCCAAGGCTTGTAATATTGTAAAAAAACTGTTTCCAAATGTCGATGTACAGTAATGAAATCATCGTTTCCAATGACTATAGGCACTATCATTCATTTGCCGAAAATTGTGACCAAGAAAGCAAAACGTAACGTCTACATGTTTCTGAAAGAAATGCGAGATGGTGATTTTTTGCATTTCTTGAACATCAATCTATCATCTTAGTTCGCAAAAGAAGAGGGCTCCATACGAATCTTTGTTAACTACATTTAAATGACGTTACAAAAAAAAAAAAAAAAAATCTTAAATGTTTCAGATTTTAAATTACGTCCAAAGGGACTTTTTTTAACGTTTTGAGTGTTACCTTTATTTATTAAATATCATGTTCTTTGCACTTAAACCATAAAATTCAGTTCAAGAGCAATATCGCAAAATAATGTTAAATTAAGCATATCTTTAGAATTTCCGATATACACAGTCTCGCGAGCTGGAGATAAAAGTATTTTTTTTTTCTATATAACGTTGCCATTTCTCGCTTTTAAAGCATTGAGTTTGTAAATCAAAAATTCGTTAAAGTTTTACAAAATATAAAATCTATAATAAAACAAATTCCAAATTTGGGATTTCAGATGCCCATATTTCGCAGTAGGATTTCGTCATTCAAAATTCGATGGCTCTATGTACCATTGTTTTATCACAATGCGAGAAATAGACAATCATTTATGCAGATTTTTCATTATTTAATTTCTTCAAATATAATGCAGGACTCTAACATTTTGTGGCAACAGTTTGAAAAGTGAACCGACGTTTATGAGTCCGACGCAAAATCGCAAAACGAAAACAATAGTCCTTCAGGGACAAAGCCCCTTTGGACTAAAAAGTCATTTTTCTTTTACCAACAACTGATGCCAATTTGGTCAAGCTGGAAATAAAATTTGAAGGTAAACAAACATGACTTGAAAAGTGGCTACTGGGAAGTAGAAGGATTCTGAAGATTGTGCAAACACTTTATTTTTAACAGAACAAGATTCAGAGCAATTTTAAAGTTAAGCTTTTCAGGCTGAACAAAACTCTTATTTTCATTCCAACATCTGATGCACAGTTTGGAGATAACTACTACATGAAGTCTTTCTCATACGACTCAATGGCATTATAACCATCGGGTCAACTTTCGAGAAGCATCTTAGAAAACATCAGGAAATTTCTGCTGAAACAGTAAAGTCAATTTAAAATTGGACCTTTCGAAATGTAGTTTCACCAAAAAGTTAGCTACTTTAGATGTATGGTTTTCCCAGAAAATGTGCGCACAGGTGCTTAAAAACACAACGATTTTCTCTATTTATAAACTTTAACGAAGATTTGTTAAAGAGTTTTTTAATATCGCAAGGTATTTATATAGACTACTGGAAACAAAAACAATCTAGTAAAAAGAAGTTGAAGTTTTGTCTAAAAAAAAAGTTGGCTTCGGAACACAGAACAATTGCCAAATTGAATAAAAATCACTCAAAGCTTGAAATAATTTACTGCGTCACTAGCAAAGAATTATTAGATATTTTAAAGGAAACAGAACATTTTAATCCTTCCTTCTATCTCCGCAAACTCTTGCCGAGTACCAACTACGTACCTCACTGTTAGGTTACTGTTTCAAAGATCAGAAAGTAAAGTACCCAGATGCTTACAGTAGTTCCAGAAACACAGCAGCACGAAAATGTTGACGCTCTTTCAAGAAAAGAACTAGCAAACCGATCCTTGGAGTAAGCTTAAATGAAAAATGAGAAGCTCACGACGACCTTTTAAATAGTTATTCATTTTCTAAAGGTTTCAGATTCTTAGTGCTTTTACAAAACTTCGCAGTAATCTTTATGGAGGCCATTTTAAGTTGTAAAGGTGATTAATCCATAAAGTACGAGAAAATTTCCTGGCTGAATGAAAGAAAAAGAACTAAGCAGATATGTGAAACAGATATAAATTCTTCGATGAGCGCGCGGTTTTCTGTGCGAATTTAATGAAGCACGCAAAGCTTACAAAATGAAAAGAAACCAGAAATAATTTCTGCACTTACATTAAGATGGCAAGTTAGATAAGTTTAGTCAAATATCTTGCATCATCTCTCATTATTCATATCTCGGAATCAACTGGACTAGAACCAAGAACTATCTTTTTTCTTAAAAGTATATAGGAGTTCATTAGAATACAATATTTGCAATATTCTAGACGATTTTTGGCGGTGATCTTCATAGGCTGTGTGATCTACTATTCCAAGAATCATCCGATGCGCCGTCTTCAACTAGCAGGATTTGCAGGCGTATTTAAAATATGTAAATTTTTCTCGCCACTAGAGGAAAAAACAATGACTGAGGAGATGATGACCAGACACAACAGCAAAATGGATGACAGGAAGTTGGAAGTCAAATATGGTTATCAAACGTCATCAAGGGATCCTGCTCAAACTACAGGGAAGCTGGGAAAAACTCTTCATTTTAACTATGTTTCGATAGAGAAGGAACAGCAGGCTGCAAGGAATAAGAACAGCAGGACGGTTAGTTGAGAGTCTGCTTCGGAATGATATACTTACTTTGTTGACAACTCAAGAGATTTCAGTCACGTTATTATGTCAGCTATTGTATAATTTGTGATATTCTCCATGCATGGAGAATTTCGGCATTATCTATTTCCTTCCTTGAGCTAATTTCAGCATTTTCCCCTTTCATCTGTAAAAGTTCTTGTAGCTTTAAGTTTTTATCTTCATTCAGATTGATTATTTTGAGATGGTGACTAATTTGTAAGTTTATTATACCAAAAAAGTAAATCGTCAAACATGTGCGAATCGCATTACATTCTTAAATAAGAACTCAATCAAATATTATGTCTAGTCTTTTGTGCTTTTCATTAATTAACAATCCAATCCAATCCAATCGCACTGAATGTTTTGTTCCTTGTCGCAATTACTGATCAAATCAATCTTAGACATCAGATCCATTGTAGGAACGAGACGATCAGAAATAATACCTTTTGAATTTAAAATTTAAAAATTAAATAAATTTAATGAAAACATAATAAGAAATAAGTAACAAGAAAATAAGTTTCACTTTTTCTTTTCTCTGAAGTTTTACATTTTTTCCCCCGAGTTTTGCTCACTCGTGTTGCAAGCTTCATTCATTTAATCTCAAAGGTCGCAAACTTCAAAATACTGCTATTTCTTTCAGTGTTTCTGACTTAAAAATGGATTGACATGTGAGAGCTACACAGAATATGATCACCAATGATCGGAATTTGACAACTGCTGACACACTTGAGTCCGCTATGAAAACCCAATCACCTGCTACTATTGGTGCGATTACAGAACGAAATCCAATGAATTTATGATTGTTACTATCATTAATATACTGAAAACCGTTCTCGTCTTGAAGTTGCGGTTGTACAGCAGATATAAACAGATTCGCCAAAGTAAAAGCTGTCTTCAGTAAAAACTACGATGATACTAAATATAGAAAAACAAACTACCATCATGATTTTTGAAAACTTCAACAAACATCATTTTTGAAACTACGTTTAATTTAACACCATAGGTTTCCGATAAACTTTTGATGCTTCTCTAATATTACAAGTAGCAAAGGAAAGAGCGGATTTTGCAATATTGTGCGGTGAAATAATGTTTTGTAGAACATCGGTTCAGAGATTACAAAATACTCCAAATGAAGACGTGAAAACGAAAGGTCTCCATGAATTCTGTAGTGACACTGAGAGACACATGCACCTCAGCGTTCTAGACTGAGACTCCAGAAACGTAGTCACCCCAGAATTTGTTAATGGTTTGGGAGAGGAAGAGTCGCTGAAAGCTCTGAAACCGCTCACAACAAAACTGCCAGTTTCGCTCCATATTAAAATTATCTCAAGTTAGGATACTACTAATAGAAGGCTGCCGAACTATCAACGGCGTATAATTATGGTGTGACCATATTGTAAGACAGACTGCCATATAAAAGAAAAACATATGCACATACTAGACGTTTTTCACATCATTACTGCATGACAGAAAACTCTAGTTTATCAAGGAATTTATTATAATTGGTTTATCATAGTCCTCAAAGACTATCTTCAAAAGAAAACGTCTGAAGAAAATTCAGCTCGAATTCAAGTTATACAAGAAGAAAAACCATAAAAACTACAGCAGCTGATTTAAATGCCCGAAACTGAATACAAACAAATTACTAATATTCCTCGGCTTTTATGCGTTCGATTGCTGACAAATCAAATGCTATTTTGGCGTCTGAGGATTATTTACAATATCTTCAACAATAATCGAGCTATTCTTTAATATATATATTTTGTTAAAGATATCGTTGAATTGCTAATTTTTTTTCCATTCATATTACTTTTCACCTTAAAATATAAAATCGGTTTTTTGATGCTGATTTGAATTGCTCGCGTTCAATAAATTTGCTGTAATAGGGGTGCAAAAAAGTACCGTTTCAGAATGTGAATACTATCTTGTCCTGGCTTGAATTCTGCACGACTGCATAAACATGCGGCACGAGATAAAGCTGCCCATCCTGGAGACGTTTTATCATATTGAACACCTGGAAGAAAAATTTTATTTGTTATTTAACAGAAATACAGCATACACATTTTTTTACATCCAGTAAGCTTTTCACTCGTTACTACTGAAATGATAACTTTGAAAGATTAATGTAAACACTGCAAACTATTTTTAAGTCGAGATTTAAAATTAATTTTACCTATCGTATATGGGATTATATCAGAGAAAATACGCATTAAAATAAGGGAACTTTTTTCTTTACTATCTTTTATATTAAAAATGCTCATAATATCGAAGTACTATGATATGCAGATACTGGTAGTACTTATCGTAAAGAAGAGCGAAACACGGGCGAGTTCTGCCTTATTACTATTATTACATAAATTCATACAAATCCATTAACTTTTGTGAATATTCCAGGTAAATTTCCTAATGATTCCTAAGGTATATCACACATTTAAAAAGCTACAACACGGTGTATACTAAGATGTGTAGAACGAAATTAACTTATCATCAAGAGAAATACTCAATTACAGTCCTATACAACAGACTGCAAAATCAAATACTAGAGAAGTCTGAGGTAATGCAATTCACTATATTTTATTTAGCAATTTTAAGTAAAACTAGGAAGACGGCTAGTGCTTTTAGTATATGATTATTAAATAACACTGTAGAGACCGGCTTTTACTACAGCATGTAATACAAGCACTAAAGATTTAAATGAACCTCAAAACTAATGCCTTCTTCTGCATGGATAGTGAGTGTGTGAATGCACTCCCGAGATGGCTTCCGACCACGGAAATGACTGTGGTCTTTTACGGTTAAATGCAAATGTATGGGTTGTTAGTATTTTTCTTTCTAACATATTTTATATTGGCATGGTGTTTTTACTATATTCACTCTTTCTCTTGAGAATTCAATCGTTAATGTAGAATTGAAAAAATTCCCAACACAAAAGGCTGCTAGGTGCATATTTTCTACTTGATCAACGTACGAAATCTCTGGTTTACATAAAGGAATACTTTTGATAATCTCCTCATCCATGGGTATCCATAGGAAAAACTTGTACCCATAGAAATTTTAAAAATCAAGAGCATGATGCAAACTGCAAGAAAATGTATTCCTTTATCCAGCAACTTTACGCTCAAATAAAAAAATTCTCGAGAATAAAATATTTTAATATCCTTAAATGAAATTATAATGAAATTTATCTTAGAGAATCCACATTCTTTCTCTGTTGATAAGCTAGAAAACAGAACATACATATATAGAAATAGGCTTTGAAAAAACGCTTTCCAGATTTTATTCTAAAATTAGGAAATCTGTCGAAAAATAAAGATAACTGAAGAAACAATAAAGAAAGAATGCATGAATGGTTAGGAAGGAGACCTACCTGATTGATCTTCAGTGGTATCCGCTTCTATTATCTGATTGTCAAACCACATGTGAGCAACTGTCATTCTGTTTTGAGTTAAGGTTCCTGTTTTATCAGAGCAGATGGTGGACGTCGAACCTAAAGTTTCTACGGCTTCTAGGTTTTTCACAAGACAGTTCTTCGAGGCCATACGTTTCGCTGTTAATGTCAAGCATACCTAGATAGACATGTTGTAAGTTATAACGAACTGGAAAGGTATTATGATTCTTTTTAGTGTAAGATCATTATCTCAGTTTTAATTACAATAGGGAAAACGATTTACATAATACATAATGGTAGCTCCAGTTTTATTAAAAAGATTGGACTTTTTCAAATTTAATTTAAGCATTTTCCTCGATAAAGTTCCCATGTTTTCTTTTCAGTTGTTAAATTTTAAACATGATATTGATGTTTACATAAAGAAATCATTATGAGCTTCATTTTATTAGGACGATCACGCAGATTTGCTGTAGGCCAGAAAGCTATTTAGGTGATTTTCTAAGAGGCAGGACAGCATGTTTTATACTTCCTTACCGTATATTTAAATTTGTATACAGGATTACAGTTTTCATGCATTTTATAGAGTAGAGAAACAACATTTTTTCCTTATACATTTAAAATCTATAGAGAATTCCCATTTTCTTGCAGAAATAAATTTGAAATAGAAATCTAAATGATAACGAAAATAGTTTGAAAGCATTAAACTAAATTAGGTTGCTTATTAAAAGTACAGTTTAATCTATAAAAGAATATTTGTATTGCAGCACTATTTATTCATTATGAAAAGTGGCTGGACATTAAAGTTACATGATCTTTATTCATAATGTAGTATGCGAACTATTAAAGTTGGAAAGTTAATGCACATTCAGTATTCACGCAATATATGAATTATACACAATGATCACACTCGATCTTTTTCTAAATTTTAGGTAAGTGCAGAAACACATCACAGCGCGGGAAATTCTATCCATATGCTAGGATGAAAAGGGATATACTGTCCGTAATTATAAAAGGAAAGCACATTAAAAACTGCTCGATGTAGTTCGAATATATACAAGATGAGAAGATCAATAAAAATAAGATTTGTGAAAGAACTGTCATCTGGTCCGCATGACACTGACAAAAACTACATCTTCATAGCGCAACTTTGTAGTATCATCATAGCAAGAAGAAAACTAGTCCACATTTTTCTCGACATTCAGGATTAAAAGGACCTGCAGGATTTGCCTTTGCATTGAAGTAAATGTACGTCATATTATTCGTATCACTTCATTTACCATTATTAATGATGAACATTAACTCAAAAACTGATATTCCATGAATCGGAGAATTTAAATCCAACTCATTCGATTCATGTCATAACGCAGTAGCATGATGTAACTATTTTTTAAACAGAGTTCATCAAATATTGTTTTCTTAACATTCTTCCGAATGGTAATCAAATTATAATGACTTAAACCTTGCAACAGAAGGTAATAACTTTCTAATTTCTGGTATTTCAATGAACAACATATTAATCCTTTAATGGGTACGCATAGCTAAGTAATTTATTATAGTAAAGCACAGAGTCGTAGCTAGGGTTTTCAGCGCCCAGGGCCAACTGAAGATTTCGCGCCCTCTACTGCTTGCCAAGGATGGAAAAATTTAATTCTAAAATGTCGTAACATCAGTTTGGCGCCCCTTGGATTCTGCGCCCGGGGACAGATGCTCCCCTTGCCCTCCTCTAGCTACGCCCCTGGTAAAGCAAACGAAGACTGTCGGCCTTATAGTATACTCTAGTTGGGAACTTCCGAGAGAAATTCGTTACTATCCACATTAAACACTGCACTACATCACGAAAAAAAATTCTGGGCCTACTCGATTATGAGACAAATTTGATAACTGGTGATGTAGACAACCCATCCCTAAGGAAATCTAATTCTGGATTTCAGTACTCATTTGCCTAAGTCACTTCTTGAGTTTCACACAGGCTAACATATAGCCTTCGAACATTTACTGAATAAGAATGCAACTCTTTGACAACAAAGATTTTCTTTTCGTTTTGAAATTACATTTTGAATCTTATTAGTCCCAATTTATCTATTGCTTTCTGCCTCTCTATTGTTTCTTCGCTACTCAGCACCTACCTATTACTTTATCACCACTCAGTACGATGTTATCACCAACAAACCCAGTTATTCATAGTCAACAGTTCATCAACAGCATCAGTTATTCCTAAAGATAATTCACCAGTCCCGACCACTAGCTCAGCAGAATGATCAAGCAAAGTATCCCCTTTGCCTCCGAAGAAAACTACTCTTTCTGGTAGAGTAGAAATATTTAATCTTCACTGTATATGATGTGTCAGTACCTACAGTACTTGGGGAAGGAGGAGGGGATACTGAAGCAGTTACCGTAACTGAGCTTTTGAACTATTATTTACTTTGTACTTATTTAACTGTATTCTCGGTGAGTAGAGTAGTTCTGCCCTGCTTGCATGCAGTATTTAGAAAATTAGTTCTCTTCCAATATAACAACGTCTGTAGTCACCTAGTACACTACAGAGGTGTACCTGATATACTACAGGATAAACTTAGCGCATTAAAAAGTACATATAAAGACACACTGATATCGTCATATTAAATATTTCAATGGACCTGTCAATTTCAGTAATATTCTTTTTTAACTTAGACAACATATTTTTCTATTTGCGCATACATTTTACAAATGCAAATTAGGAACTCTTTAAATGTCATAAAATTATACTTTACCATGATTTTGCACAAGAAAGGTCGAGGTTTATTGGTCCCAAACGTTACCTATGCCAAAGTACGAATTGAAAAAGATGATTACTAAATTTGAAGAGACTGGGGAGTTTGTTGCGCTGCTAGAGAGATGGCAGAAAGCGATTTCAAATGAAACTGCCAAAGAAGTTGCTTTCGCTGTAGTTGACAAAGCGTTCTGTTCGATATTTTTTGACAAACGCTCGGGCGGAGTCCCGCAACTTGTCTATCCCATTCTATGGGTACGAAAGGTTTTACTATTCATTTTAAAGTGGTATTCGCACAGGAGTTACGAGATGTAAAAGCTGCACTCTCAAGAATCGCATCAACACACTGATTGTGCTTGTCAATTTGAGGAAAGAATATTTGCTGACAATGTATGGCCTTGGAACATTTTGCAGTCAGACGAGGAGCACTTTGCCGTAGATACAGCAGTTAATACTGAGTAATTTCCAGAAGTTTTCTGAATGTCTGTCGTCGCTGTTCTCTGGACTTGAATCCCTGTGATTTCTGATTGCGGAGATTCCGGCATATGAATTCTGCTTGATTTCGAAGCAAGCATAACACGCCATGTTGCTGCAGTTCCTTAAGAAACCCTTAGCTATTGCTGAATATGCTACTATCGTAAGCAGTGAGGGAGCACTAAAAGAAACATGGGGCAAATCTAAAACAACAGGACAACACAACGTAAGTGTTTACAAAACACAAATACACGTACCGTCACAGTAGCTAAGAGACCCTCAGGCACATTGGCAACAATGATTCCGATGAGAAAGATGACAGCATCCAACCAGTAATACCCAAGAATGAAAGCAATAACGAAGAAAGCAAGTCCTAAAAATACAGCGACACCCGTGATCAAATGAATGAAATGTTCTATTTCTCGAGCTATGGGTGTATCACCAACTTCCAACCCGGAAGCCAGATTAGCAATACGGCCCATCACAGTCCGGTCTCCAGTATTCACAACAACTCCTTTTGCGGTACCTGAAAAAGAAAATAGGTTAAGTGAATGCAATAAAGAAAAAAATATATTAAATTAATCAACTAGTGTTATTAAAAATTACATTTTAGAAAAATATGTTATTTGAGGCAGAAATACCAATTACATACGAAGAGTGATTACGAAATTTGTTAGCTTTATTACATTGCAATACAGCTATAATTACGGCGGGATAGCGAGCGCTTTAAAACTTTTGATGACCCATAAAAATGTCCTCCTTCCTTACGGCTGGAATATGACTCAATCTTGGGAAACAATGTACTAACCGTGTTTGCGGTTTCATGAAAGACACTGCCATCACGCAGATTACGGCAAACTTTTAAATAAATTAATATCGTATAAAGAAGGCAAATAAATACATAACACTTCATCAAGAAATTAGTGTTTACGGCTCTCTGTTCGAAAGGTGATTTTCTCTAGAGCTATGTTAGACGACATATTTCTGTAGGTGAAATAACAATAAATCACAAGAATAAAAACAAAGTGATATTTTATGAAATCTATAGCCTCAAAATTCGCAGGAAATAAGCAGACTAGCTAATGCGTAACAGTGTTTCATTTTCCATTAAACAGAGGGAAGGTCGAGAAATCACAGCTGCAATTTAAACATTTCGTTCGGAAAACACCTTTACTTTTGCCCGACATCGCATTACATGATTTAGGTGAATACGGTTTTGGATTTACTAATTTTGCTTTAGAATTACAGAAGTTGTTAAAGCAAAGGATTTACAAAACACTTTGACTACTAAAGGTACGTACACATCCCACTAAAAGTTTAAAAATGACTACTGGGTTAAAAAGCACTTAGAAGCTCCTGAACATTGAGCATCATCTTCCAATATTTGCAATGATCTTTCTGATGATCTGTCTTTGATCACCTTTCAATAGTTGCAAAATTAAGACACCACTGTGCTCGTTGCACACAAATGATCTGTCTTTGATCACCTTTCAAAAGTTGCAAAATTAAGACGCCACTGTGCTCGTTGCACACAAATGAACACAGACAAAAGAATAAATACGAGTTGCCGAATGTGTAATGCTGAGTTATGCAACGAATGCTTTACCCTGTACCATACGATGTAAAATCTATTTCATATAATAAAGTTTTCCAGAATAAAAGGTGTGCTACGTGTGGTACTACGTGTGATACGTGTGGTACTACGCTAAGTCGATCGCTACGTGTAGGACATAGTATGTACCCCACCATTAACTACCGCTCGGACATATGCGTCTCAGCCTTTGGCTTCAAAACTGTTTGTCAAAAAAATATAAATTGTTAATTTTACCTTATGACATATTTTGTTCATATGGATAGAAAACTGGGTAATTTTTTTCAAAAATTCGTAAAAAAAAAGGGTTAAATCCATCAAATATCGGAGTTATAGAAGGCTCAATGGTACAAAGAAAGTTTGATGTTCAGCCTCTTGGATCGAATGAAAGGGATGTTAGAATTAATTTAAAGGGAGCTGCCCAGACGTTATAGTGGTTAGGGAAGCCTGACTGCGATACCAAAGGGCCAGGGTTCGAATCCCGGAGAAGGCGTGGATGTAAAATTGTCTGTCCTTTCATAGGAGGTAACGGTGACCGCCTATTGGGTGCCTCCATAATAAAATGGCCACCACTTCTGACCTTAGTAGTGGCCAATGCCGTTATGGCCAAGTGCCCACCATTCGCATAAAAAAAAATAATAATAATTTAAAGGGTTTGGGGAAAAAACGTGTGAGTCCAAAAAGTTATCGTAGATATGTATTGTTGCGTGCATACGGGTTCGTAATAGATTGAATGCACAGAGAACCGATAATAGCAAGTTAATTTTTTTTCCCTCCAAAAGAAACACTTAACAGTTCTTGTACTATCCATAAAACAACTCGCACAGCTCTCCTCAGTATCAGACAGCACAATCAGTAGCAACCCTTCAAATTATTCAGAACTTTCAACACAATGCATCACAAAGCTCATCTGAAAGCAGAAGCTCTCATGAAGATTTTTCAGTACTCCGAACTCAAAGCTGAACTAAACAACTGAGAAATGATTCTCTCCCCGGCCTTATATAAATCTGCCGCAGCGGCCAAGAAATCTCTAGCACTTCCCATTTCTCGAAATTAGTGGAAGGCGTATAAGGTTAAAGTTACATATAAGAGTCAGATACGGTTACAGTTACATACAGGGATCAATTATAGTTATTCAATTACAATAACAATTAGAGTTGCACAGGGATAGGACAAATAGTCTCCAACACATCGCCAACTTCGCTATAATTGGCCAATTTAGCGAGATAGCCATTTACCTCAATATTAAATGGACTTACCATTGTAATCCCCTTTTTTTGGCGTAGCTTTCAATTTCTGAGGCGTCTGATGTTACCTCTGTAATTCTATTTTTGCGGCAGAGCTTCGCTCTCTTCACACTTATCAAGTTGCATAATGCAAAAGATACTACAATTTGACTAAAATTTGTGGTGTTCTTCCTTTTTATCTACTACAATTTGACTAAAATTTGTGGTTTTCTTCTCTTTTATCTAATAACTAAGTGTGGAGGAACCTAATGAACAGCTAAGCGAATAATCGCTTAAGTTCAGTAACAGACACGTAAAACTCATGAAAGGTTAATTAAATTTATTGCTCAAAATAAGGGTTAACAGATGGCCCCTTTCTCAGGACGTACACAGAGCCTCCACTTGGCCTTAAAATGATAAAAAATAAGAACTTAACTAATGACCAACTAAAAACATTTAGCCGAAGCTAACACAATTGTAAGTAGTTGGTCCTATATATCGAATTAGCTAGCGAAGCTATCAATGGCCTGTACTACGGCCGAACGTAGTAACAGCTTACAGAGATGTGGCCAAAAGGAAAACGCGCGCTAGTCAGAAGCAGGCCCGCGCCAAGCCTAATCGGCGCCGTCGTGCAAATGTCTAGCGCGCGCCTTTACGGAGCGACGATATTAAAGGGACATTTCTTATGGTTAACATTTAAAATGAAGCATTATTCACATAATAATATGAAAAACCAAAAAATTGCATTTTTTGTCTAAATATGCAAACATTTTGTGCTTTGTTTTTGTGTTTTGTGCCCACCCTCAGACATATTTATTGAAGAATGATACATACACTTATGTTATAAAAAACAGCCCAACCGGTAGAGTTGTTAACGTTGCTGACTGCCGTGCTGACGAGCCCGGGTTCGAATCCCAGAGAAGACATGGATGTTTGTAAATGTATAGTGTCTATGCGGCATGGGGGAACTCTAAATATGCGAGGCGAAAGTCCTCTTGAAAGGTTGGTGGTAGAGAAAGAAGGGTGGGAGACGCTGGGATCCGTCCCCGCAGGGTGCTCTCCATCAGAATTGGAGGCGAAACTCAGATAAACCGCACTGTCACCAGTAATGTGCTCAAGGCCATTGCCAACGACAGGCATATCTTGCGCTCCTTGCCACGAGTAGTTTCGTGGGCTGACTATAGGTCATACGAGTGAGCATTAGTCAACAACAACATGTTATAAAAAAGCAACAAACGAAGCGAAATAATATACTAAATGCATTGGATAACAAATATATCGCTGAATATTTATTATCTTAAAATTAAAAACAAATTCATATCCATATCTAATAAGTTTGCACTGAATAAACTGTTGTTCAACAGCGTAGTTTACGACAAGGTTCAAAATATGATTACAGCAGGACATGATTACAACAAGGCACAAAAAAATGCTTTAGGGGTCTGATATCTAGGGATATATTCCAAATTCTTTTTTACACACCGCTATGTTGTTGACAACGATATAGCGTAATTTCAACCGGCGATACTAAATTTCCTCCAAAAGTTTCAAAACGCTTCAGTTCATGCATAAGATTTATACTATTTATATCGCTTTTATTTTTATCAGTTAATGCTTTTTGCAGTTTTTGACACATAAGATGAGCTGATCTTGAAAAGATATGTAAACAAAAATACTTAATGCCGATGCGTATGCAAGGGTACAGGGGGCGCCGTAAACGCGTTCCACAAACTCCCTAGTCCTTATTTTGTGTCTACTGTTGCAATCGTAGTAACTTGTGCAACATTTATCTTCTCTCTGATTTTTTGTTTTGGTGATTCCTTGTTGTTCTTGTTACTCTACATAATAAGTGCAGTTACATATTATGTTAAACTTGTTAAACTTAGGTTAGCCTTTTAATTCAGAAAAGCGACGATTTGTGCATAAATACTCGATTTTTTTAAACAGATTTAAAGGTTTTTAGATGCATTAATTGGAGTAGAATAAATATATTCAAGAAAATGAGGATGGACTTGATCATGAATGTTTAGTTCATATAATAATGATTCTCAGAAACTGATATAGATTCTGAAAACGAAAGTGAGAATGGCACAAATTGCTTTATCAGAAAAAAATTATCAGGTAAAAAAGAATTAAGATTTTGACCAGAGAAAACGCACACAAAACACGAAAGTATGTGAAAAAATTTGTAAGTGGAACACACAACACTTTGTATAAAGTACTGCTAACATTTGTTATTGCATTTTTTCCTCGGTACCTTTAGTGCTAATAAAGAAAATAAAAAATCGACACAGAGATTATTTTTTAATAAGCTAATATATAATATAAATTTCTATTCCTTTAAGAAATTTTATTCCATAAATGCATTTTCAGAAATTAAAAAATTTAATGTGCATATTTTTTCATGGTTGATCTTAAAATTTACTGTTGGCACAGATGTAACATGTTTTCTGAAGATTTAGAATTTTTTCTTCAAAAATCCCGAATCGGTTCTTTTGGACCCAGAGCGCGTGCTCGCGGGTTAGTATAATATGTAACTGCATTTGCTCTTTTTTATATAGAAAAACAATAAGTAAAGATAATCAATCACAAAAAAGATAAATTTTGCTACAAATTACTTCAATTGCAACAGTAGACACAAAATAAGGATTAAGCAATTTATCGAATGCATGTTCTCTTACAGAGGCATCGGCAGCAAGTATTTTTACGGTCAAATAAGACAGAAGAGAAGACCAGAGACGAACTCTTGCCCTGGTCATAACTTTCGATCAAGTAAGACAGTGTGCTAAGAGGAAGGGGCACTCAGACTTGGCAAGGTCGAGGCTGCCTTAACAATGTTAAACGCCCCAACCCTTAAAGGCGATCCAAGAAGCCGCTAACCTATCGGCCGAGCCGACAAGCCAAGTCTAACCTGAGTCGACAGGAATAGTCAGCAACTCACATTCTAAGTTCCCGTTCTGGAGGGAAGGCAAAAACATCTGCCATCAACAAGAGCTCCAACCGCGGACAGCAGAACGAAGTCACTTAAACACTGTCAGACAGATCGGATCACCAATACGGCCTGCTAACGCAACTTCATGGTATACAGACGTCGGCTTTAGGCGCCCCCCAGGAAAGAAACCAAGGAAAGGATATGAATATTTAGTTTTGAGGCTCCAAGCGCCCACTGGAAGCCTCAAGCAGTTTAAAGGCTTGCTGAATTCGCCACCTCCATCGACGGGGGTGATTCTCCCCGAACTACCATGACTATGTGACTATATAGCTCCATCACAACGAACGGAACGCACAAGACAGTACCATATGGTTCCTGACGAGCCTGAAACAGTAGATGAACAGTAGTCATCGCCGTCCTGTAGAGACTGATTTTAAACACTCGTGGCCAAGACTGCCTAGATACAGACCCTAATCAGTAGTTTACCTAAGTCGAGGCCGGAAGGGGTGATAAAATAAGACAAGAATTTTCCTGTTCATAAAAGCAGCGAGACAAAATGCTTGTTTTAATGATTACCTGGTGCCTTTTTGACTCGGCGCCGCCGTGCGCCACACGACCTTGCACATATTGTCGGCGCGGGCCTGGTCAGAAGATCTGCTTCTCTCTGCCGAAGTCAGTGGAACTTCGACTTAGATACTACTCAATCTCATTTGCATTAAAAGCAATTCTAAAAACATATTCTGGTAAGGAAATTATAAGCTGAATTTAATCTGGTAAGGAAATTATAAGCTGAATTTAAGAGAGATAAGAAAGAAGCTTTAACTTACAAAATAACTGCTATAAACTTAGGATAAGCCTAACAAATTATTTACGTATATACAAAATTCCTAACATTGCCTCCTACCCAAGGATTACACGCCCAGGCAACACAATTCCTGGAGAAGGAGCCATACTTAGAACGAAGGAAATCAATGCAATACTAAAACAATAATTTCAATAAATAACATACAGCTAATCAAATATTAAATCAATAAATAAATGCAGGAATTTACAAATTTATATACAAACAGGACCAAGGCTTTAGTTCATTTACATTATATACACTATGGAGGGTACGTGCTGTGGACATCGTAACGAGCTAGCCTGTTGTAATGAATGACCAAAGGCTTGGAATTTAATGACCTACGGATCTGAACTACAACGTCGTTCAGCCTGTGCCGTATCAGGTCTTCATCTTTTCCATCGCTAAGTTGACTCGCTCTTGTGCAAAATTGTGCATCACTTCAAACCGTACCTGGAGATCTCGAATGCACTCCTCAGCCGACCGAATAATATCTGATACGGTAAACAGCTGGTAGTCTCGTGGACAGCACTACGATAGGCCAGTAAAAAAAGGTAACTTCTTGTCCCAGTCCTGTTGGTTTTTTAGAAACCACCAAAGAGAAGTTATTAAGGATGGTTCGATTAAACCTTTCTACCAAGTAGTCTGACTAGGGATATAAAGGTGTCGTTTGGGTTTTGTCGATGCCAATAGTTTGCAGAGTTCTTCATTAACAGCCGAAACAAAATTTCTTCATTGATCGAAATACAACTGAAAAGGCACTCCAAACCTGGAAATCCAATGCTGTATCATTAACTCTGCTATCGTGACAACCCCGTGATCAGGAACAGGATAAGCTTCAGCTAGTTTGTCAAGTAATCTATGATAACGGAATATCATAGATTATGTATTATTAAGTATGTATTTATTGCCATCAACAACTTATGGCAGAGATCGCAGGAAGTCAAAGGCAATGAAAACGTCCTTTACAAATCTCGTATAATCTGTGCAAAGCCCCAGGTGGCCCCTAGACTCCTTTAAAATATCCATCATCTGATGGATATTTTAAAGGAGTTTCTAGTCTTTTACTGCCGACACATTTTCTGAATTCACAGACACACCATCGTCGGAAATCACATATCCGAGGTAAGTCACTTTCTGTCTGTACATTTGGTAAGACTTCATTTAGATTGGCTTCCTTCACTTTCTGAAGCACCTTCCTAATATTTTCCGAATGTTCTTCAAAACTTTTCCGGAGATGATGTCATCCAGGTATATCAGACAGGGTTCGTAGGAAAGACCTATCAGCACGGTTCTTGATAAGGGGTTCGAATGTTGGCGGCGCATTACATAATAAAAATGGCACCACTTTGAACTGCCAAAGTCCTTCTTCGGTAATAAATGCCGTCTTTTCTCGTTTATCAGGATGTATTCCTGCCAATATCCACTCTTTAAATGAAGTCTCGAAAACCACTTGCTTCCAGACAGAATGTCTGTGTCATCAGTTCTATGAAGACGGTAAGTGTCGTTCTTCGTGACCTCGTTCAAACGGTGATAATCAAAGCAAAATCTAGTCGAATCACCTTTCTTCAAACCTTTCCTGTTACATTTTGCAAAACGTGCGGCAATTTCACGTATAATTTCACTAAAATTATTTGCGTATATACAAAATTCGTAATAATATCAATACATACTTTTATAATTAATATGTATATACATTTTTCTCAGTTAACAAAATTTTTTTGCGTGAAAAGGATTAAAATTAGATTATATGATTTTTTGGAAATAAATGTAGTACTTAAGAATTTTACAAGTAGCGCTACATTCGTAAATTTCAAAAAGTTTTACAGCCTGAAAAATGTGAAGTGGGTATTCTAGTTCTACGTGTTCTTCCACGTTTCTCTGTAACACTTGACACAGCATCAGTTATTTTAGCCTTCAGAATATAACATCACCAACTAGTGTACGCAATGATTCGGTCCTTGATATGTTTTTGTCTGATTCATAAATGCTGTCAACTGTCTCATTTTTCACAGTAGATCCACCACTTCTTGAAAGATTACCCATGCTACAAGTTTCTTTAAAATAATTTTCAAACCAATTCCTGATGCTCTTAATATACAGAGGATTGCGTCGAAACAATCTTCTAAACACCTGTTGACGAATGATTTAATTTTACGACTCCACAAAAACATTTTTCACACAATTTTCTTCCATCGATGCCGTTTCGTAGAAAATCAATTTAAAATTCCTAAAATTCTAAGTCCCAGGGAAGGTGATGGTGCTTATGGCGTTATAACCTGCTTCGTCATAATGCTCCAAGCGTATGATTAGAGTAGATGGAGTTATAAAAGGTAGATACCATAATAATAGAAATAAGAAGTTTGAATCAAAAAATTCTGAAAGCTGACTTAAGAACAATGCAGAGCAAAAACTCGAATACCCTACTGTGATAAATTAAAAACAATTTGTCCTAGTTTAAAGTTTGTATAGCGTTAAAAACAATTATATTTTTAACACAGAAAAGAGTGCATCATTTGGTCTTTTCGGTAAAAGCCTGTATCTTTTGAGCATGTCGAACAGATTAAAATGAAAATTGACTCCAATTAAATATAAACAAAGATAAGTTGAACGAACCAAAATGTTTTAACCTAAGGGATTTAAGATTTCGACAGTCGATTAAAATATGAATCACAGATAACGTAGCATTACAGTTTGTATCCGAGAATGACTAATTCGTAAGAGTATGAAGTGATTTCTTTTTGGTTTTTGCTCGTGACCCAATACTTAATTTCAGGCTTAACATTTTTCTGCATTAGTTCTCTGCAAAAACCTTCCCTCTTTCATTCCATTCTTTATCAGAAATTTTCATACACGTGGGTGGTGGCAATTCTGAAAAATTCGGAAAAAATAGCATTAACATGAATTGCATTAATATGTGTACACTGCCAGCTGGGAAGTTTCATATTACTTTTCAAAAGTTAAGCACGTCATGTAAAATCTGAACTTGAAAATAAAAAAAACCACATTTAAAGATCTAAAATTCAGAAATACATTTTCATTATGAAAAATAAATTTAATTTAAAAACTATCTATCTACATAGTTTCATCTAGCTGAATTTTTAAATAACAGCTAAGAAACATATTTTGCAGATGAAAATTTCCTTTCACATATGGTTTTAATTTGAAAGTACCTTTACACATTAGATGATGTTAATCTTAAAAGGAAAGCTGCAGAGAAATCTCCTAAAATCTGATTATTAATAACATTACCTTCATCTCATTAAAATGTCAAAAACCAGGCTTTTATCAAGGTTTGATATTTTTTGTGCTCAGTGTTCTCTTTCTAGTTTCACCAACAGTAAGAACCTTTGAGTTAGAAAATTTCAGAAAAGCAACTGACCTTCGACGCAGTTGGTGGAAAAGAAAGCCAAATTCCTAGTTTCCAGAGGATTGTCATTTGTCGCTTCAGGTGTTCTGGTTTGTGGCTCGGACTCTCCGGTGAGCGATGAGTTGTCAACTTTACATGCCTGAGATGAAATAACTCTCATATCGGCAGGAATTCTATCTCCACCCTTGACTTCTACTATATCTCCTACTACAACGTCTTCAGCAGGCATCGTCAGCTTCTGACCGTCTCGAATAACGATAGCATACTACGAATAAATATGAAAATATTTAATTTATTACATTACAATTTAACTACGTGTTATTGATATCAAATACTTGAACAGGCAGCAAGAATTCTAAACCAAAATGTTGCACGCATTATTTTCAATACATGATAAAAGTTCAAATCCAGTATTATTTTGGCATATTTCCTTAAAAATAATTAAAAATTAAAAACTTAAAATAAAAATCCAGTATTATCATTCTGAAACGCAAAGGAGTCAAGTATATGTGAATTATCAACACATTTCACATGATCGATAGTAACTGGATTCCGAGCGAGAGTCAAATATGAAAGCAAAAATGACAGAACCAAGAAACAAATGTGACAGAAGATGCTTAAAATAAATTAAAAATGTTTTTCCTTCCTGCAATTCTCTTCCGATTAGAAATAAATAATAATTTCATTAACAAAAAATCAATTTAAAATTCTAAGAACCAGTTCTCAGGGAAGGCGATGGTGTTTATGGCGTTATAACCTGCTGCGTCATAATGCTCCAAGCATTTGATTAGAGTATATGGAGTAAAAGAGAGATGCCATGATAATAGAAACAAGAAGTTGGAACCAAAAATTTTGAAAACTGTCTAAGAAAAATGCAGAGCAAAATATCGGATATCCTAGTGTAAAAAATTAAAAACAATTTATCCTACTTTAAAATTTGTATAGCGTTAAAAACAATTATATTTTTAACGCAGAAAAGAGTGTATTATTTGATCTTTTCGGTAAAAGCCTGTATCTTTTAAACAAGTCGAACAGATTAAAATGAAGATTGACTCCAATTAATTTAAACAGAGATAAGGTGAACGAATCAAAATGTTTTAACCTAAGGGATTTAAGACTTCGACAGTCAATTAAAATATGAACCACAGATAATATAGCATTACAGTTTGCACAGATTGGGGCATTCTCGCCTTTTAGCAGGTGCTAATGGGTAACCCGAGAATGACTAATTCATAAGCGTATGATAGTGATTTCTTTTCGGTTTTTGCTCGCGACCCAATACTTAGTTTCTTCAGGCTTCATATGCCACAGCTTATTATTGCGACTCCCAGTGCTGAGGTTATTTTCGAAACATCTGCTGCTTCTGCTGTACATATATTCATACCTTATCAAACACAGACCAAACAGAACAAGAAACAAACATCCTGCGTTAACTAGCACACAGTCCGCAAGGATGACTAACACAAGGAATTAACACCAATGTTTCCTTAAGCATCCCTAGATCCAGAGATAATAATGATTCATGGAAAGATGAAGTTTTAATTTTTGTTTTCTTGATTAATTACATACATTTATAGTTATTAATGAAAATTATTGTTTAATAGCTAAACTTCATTAACATTTTTCTGCATTATTTCTCTGCAAAACCTTCCTTCTTTCAGTCCAGCCTTTATAAGAAATTGCTATGCATGTGGATGGCGGCAATTCTGAAAAATTCGGAAAAAACAGCGCTAACATGAATTGCATCAATATGTGTACACTTGCCAGCTGGGTTTCATATCACTTTTCAAAAGTTAAACACGCCATGTAAATTCTGAACTTCGAAATGCGTGCTTTAATTTCTTGGAGAAAACTCATTTTATTTGTAAAAAGAAAGATGAAAATATTATATGATGTGAGAATTTACAATACACTCCTCATAAATATGTAAATCAGGCATTGGCTGCATACAACGTGTTTTTGAAACCTTTGAGTTGATAGAAAAATATTAAAAGACGATGGTTAGACAAGATCAATAAAGACGACGATTATATGGTTCTCAACGCTGGAGAGCTGTTAACCGGTTAGAAGTAGGGCGGTATACAAAAGTTATTTTCTTTCGTGCTGACCACTCTGCAATGTCTTGCCTTTGAAAACAATTTTCAATGAGTGGCTCAGTTATTGACTGAAGAACTCTTTCCGGTAATCCAACGGGTACCGTAACCTCTGATGACGAGTATATAGTCTTATTAGTTAAGCACAATTGGTAAACTACTGCAGAAATGGTTTAAAAATATTTGGAATATTAATGCATGTGACTATGCAGCAAAGATTACAGGTGAAAAGACTATAATGCTCGGGACCATAGTTTGTGTCCCTTTAAGCATCAAAGCAAGAGAAGCACTGTGAAGCATCGACTTGAAAAGCATTTGAATGTTTTAAGTGAACGATTTAAGATTTGCATTGAACTTTGGGGGTTAGGAAAGAGGAACGAAGAACAAGCCTAGTGGTAGCATTGAACACTAAGCTTTCAGGCTGGGAAAATCCCAAAAATGAGCTGGATTTTCTTTCGCTACCACATCGACCAGCAGGTCTTTACAAGAGGTTCTGCAAGGTATTGAAAATTACATCAAATAATAATCTTGATATTTCGTGTTCTCCAGTTCATCGATCTGAAAATACAAATAAATGGATTGTAGAAATTTCTTCAGATTCTAGTGACTGTTTTACTTCGTCAAGAGTCTTCATTGGATTCAACTCGTGTTCCTTCCGTCCCTACATTTCACTTCCCCGTTGCCTTCATTGCCAGGGTCTTGGACATAACAGTCGAAGCTGTCAAAATCCTCCCTGCTGTTCCATCTGCGCAAAACAACATTCCCATAGGCAGTGTACCTCAAACGTAAAACTCTATGTAAATTGTGTGCGAAGTAACCAAGAAACTGGTTCTTCGTTGCCAACTGATCACGGTGCTCATGAAAGAACATGCCACACTTACAGGAGTCAGCTCAACAAATTATTGTACCCGGACAAAGCCACAACCTCATATGTTGCCATCATCCATAACTAAAAATTCTTCAGTTGTAACTAACATGCAAGAGCGCAATTTAAAGAACAACGCTTCAACTCAAGATTATAACGTGGACAGTGATGTACAAAATAATCTACCCCCAACCTTACTAAAAAACTCGATACCATTTTCTTCAATTCGTTTTCTCCAAATCAACTTACAAAGGGCAAAAACGGCTTCTGATCATCTAGCAGAATTCTTAACTCCTAACCATAAAGACTTTGTTTTAATCCAAGAACCCTATTGTATCGAAGGTGAAAGTAAGTAGCATTCCAACGTCTTGGAATGTCTTTCAATATTCTCCTCAGTCCCCTAATCAACATCCCAGAGCAGCTATCATTAGTTTTAATCATAGCTGGCACCCGATTCTAATTACAGCCAAAAGAGACCTAGTTACAATCAGTCTTAATAGTTCCAACTCTCAACTTCTTATTTCAAGTATTTATGCATCTCCCTCCGAGGATATTTCTATTTGCTTCAAGATTTAGAATCCATCTTGTTTTCCTTCCGAGGTCCACACATAATTTGTGGAAACTTCAATTCACAAAACCAGCTTTGGGGCTACAACTCCACAAGTCCAAGAGGAAGGTCCCTTGAGGAATTCTTCAATTCACATAATCTTGTCATTCATAACCAAGCCTCGGATTTACCTTCTTTCGAAACAATGTATGGGAGAGGGTGGCCAGATCTCGTAGTTACTTCCATCACCTAATTAATTCGATTTCAAATCGCAAAATTGAAGAAGACAACTCCCACTCAGATCATAAATATATTACTTTTGAAATCAAAGAGAACTCAGAATCAGTTTTAATGAAACGTTTTAAAATTACTAAAAAGAAAGAAAAGAACTTTATTAAGCAAATTCAACAATCCGCACTTCCAGTGACTTCTTCCTTCCAACTAAGTGCAACAAAAGAAGATCTAAATAAAGCTACAGAAGATTTTATAAAAAAAATTCAAGAAATATGTGAAAATACCTTTCCAATACGATCTGCAAAACCTTACTTTCATATAAATTGGTGGACTAAAGAGTTACGCGCTCAAAAGCATAAGGCGAGAGCATTGAAACGGAAAATGAAATCGATTACTGAAATTAAGACACCAAGCCTGGCTCAAATTCAAAAAAGAAAATGCAAACTACAAAAAGATGATTCTCGAATCTAAATTAAAAAGTTGGCGCAAATACTGTTCAAACAATAAAGAAATTTATGGCACCTTATACAAGATCGCCAGTAGTAAAATATTTTAACCGTCGCAAATCCAACTTCCCTCAAATTTGCTTTCAAGTTCTGCTGAAATTCAGGATGCCATTCTCTCAACCCTAAATGAGATTCTTGACTCTGTCTTTCTAAAAGATGATCCAGCTGAAGATTCGCCTACTCAAACCAGAATCCGTAACTGCGATGACATTCCACAAACAGACAACGATATTCCGTTCTCAAAACAAGAAATAAAGCAAATAATTAAAAACCTAGCTTTAAAAAAGGCACCAGGTCCAGATGGCATCGATAACCACATTATAAAATTAATCAATCAAGCCCATCCTGCCATAATCTGTAGTTTTTGCAATCGATGTATAGAGCTCTCTACCTTTCCTGATTGCCTGAAAAATTGGTAATATAATACTCTTCAATAAGAAGAATAAAAGCTCCGATGAACCTAAATCTTAATCTCGATAAATCTTCTCCCAGCCCTGGGAAAAGTTTTGGAAAGATGTATTATTGGTCGTCTAAAATTTCATGTTTACAGCAAAACTTAATAAGCAATAACCAGTTTGGATTTCGAAGCCTACTTTCAAAACGTCATGCAATTAATTCAGCTCTTGAACAAGTCAGAAACAATAAAATCAACCAACTTCATTCTGCAATAATATGTCTCGACTTTAAAATCAGCTTTTGATTCTTTATGGTGGCCAGCAATTTTACAAGTGCTGCGTTCCTTTAAGTGCCCTCAAAATTTATTTCTAATTATTCAAGATTACTTCAGAAACAGGAAAAGTATGATTCTTTACAACAACACTGAAATTGTGCGTAATCAAGTCAGAGGATTTCTCCAGGGGTCTTGCATAAGTGCAAATCTCTGGAATATCAGCTTCAACAACATCATTGCCTATCCATGGCCAGATCACTCAAAAATTGTAGCTTTTGCAGATGATGTAGCTTTTATTACAAGTGGCCGTACCAGAGACATTTTACAGAATAATTGCAACGAAACACTCC